CCTTTATTCTACCATAAGCTGTGTGAACAACAAAGTTTGACCCTACCATAAGCTGTGTGAACAACAAAGTTTGACCCTACCATAAGCTGTGTGAACAACAAAGTTTGACCCTACCATAACCTATTCTATGAATAAATATTGAATCTGCCATAAACTTATACATATTTTTCTTAATCTTTCTAACTACAGGACATTTATACTGACCAAGAAGTAATCAGTCTTCGAGCCTCGTTGTCCAAACTCAAATGTCAGTTGGCCAAAGAACAACAGGAAAAGTTGGATTTACAGGCAGAGATTGCTGTACTAATACAAGTACGTTTTGATATCGTACATTTAGCACATTCTGGTGATTAAACTCAAGGGATGCATTTGAACCATGTTCCAAGAATTCCATTACTGAAATTTATGTCTCACTATTGGATAACTTGCTGTTAAGATTATGTGACTATAATTTAAACATGTTGTGCGTGTTCCATGTTATTCCCATGTGTGCTAATGACCCTAATTTTTTTACCGGGTTGTTAAAAATATTGGTATTTAGTTATTTAGAAGAAAGTATTACAATAACTTTTAAATCGTTAGAATAATTTCAAGTTAAGAAGGAAATAAATTAAATAATAATGTTTGTTATTTGGAAGTAAGCTCGTGAGCTTCAAAATAACCTTTTTTACATTGAATAAAAAACTGTGTGTAACTTGAAAGTACATTTTGTAACTGAAGATTATAGATATGGAAACACGTAAAATTGGTATCAATAAATACAGTAATTAATTTGTAAAGAGTAGAGACAGTAATGTTTTGTTTTAATTTGTGTATATTTTCTATCCCTGTAAAACAAGTATTTAAAATTCTCCTAACTTGGGAACAATGTTTGTGGCCGAAGAGAACTGCTTAATGTTTTTGAATGAAACTTTTTGTTATGTAGTTATGCTGTTTCAGCTTTCCATGACTAAGGGTTTTTATCTTAGACTCATTGGTTAATACATTTGTAGGAGAACGTTCACCTACAGTACCAACTAGAGATTCTTCAGGAAGAAAAAAAATCCAGTTTGGACGTTGAACTTCAGACAGAAATTGACAAAAGGTTGGTTATTATCTGATATTAAATGACATTCTTGAATGACATTTTTTGTTCCATGGTGGGGCAGCATTAAGTCTGTGGGCTTGCAACACTTTAATCTGGGGTTTGATTCCATGTGGTAAACTCAGAAGATAGCCCAGTGTAGCATTGCTTTAAAACAAACAAAAACAAATGAATTTGGTTTCTAAAACCAGGATTAACTTTTATGTAGAATCTACTTGATTTGAAAAAAAAATAAGACACATTTATTTAATTGATTTCTGATGACTTTTCTTCTATTGAAATCTTTATACACATAATTACTTTGTTTTACGTTTTTTTGGATCTCAGCACAGACAAAGATTGTAGAACATTGCAAGTGTTTAGTTCAGTTTAAGTTTACTTCCACGTCAAACGAGTCTGGTATGAGAAACGAATTATGCATGTGAAAAATACATAGCATTCATAATGTGTATAAAATACTATTTTCATTAATTCTCATAACAAAATCAATCTTAAGTGAATTTACCAAATTTGGTTTATTAATTATCCGTTCATTTTCCAGTGCAATTTCTCCAAATTTTTGGATATTTTATAGAATCTCAAAAAGTGTTTACACATGTTATTTTGAACGTTCCTTGTTAGGAACAGATAATCAAAACATTTTTGTAACCTGGCTTGAATTAATGTTTTTAATTATTAGTTTTCAACTCTCTATTTACAGTTTTCATGTCATTTTATATTTTTTAATTGTGTATGGTGTTTGCTTAATAGATTTTGAAATATATAAATGTAAAAATAATAGATATAGTTTAGAACTCATGACTGCTGCAAGGTAATCAACAAGAAAATAAAATTCACTGTGTCATTAAGCTGCTTCATCATACATTTTTTATATTATACTTTCTATGTATTCCAGAAAATGTTGCTGTGAGCTAGATAAAATATCATAGTAATTGAATAGAAGATTTCGGGATTTACATATTAGCTAGTGATTAATAACCCACACTAGTTTTCCAACAACGACTTTCTTATGTCTTCATGCCTCCCTCCACTTTTCTTCTAGTAGATAAGATATGATACTACTAGAAGAAAAGTTGAGGGAGACATAAGATATGATAAAAAGTTGAGGTAGGCATATGATACTACTAGAAGCTTATGCCTCCCTCAACTTTTCTTCATGTTGTATCATATCTTATGCCTACCTCAACTTTTCTTCATGTAGTATCATATCTTATGTCTCCCTCAACTTTTCTTCTAGTAGTATCATATCTTATGCCTCCCTCAACTTTTCTTCATGTAGTATCATATCTTATGCCTACCTCAACTTTTCTTCATGTAGTATCATATCTTGTCTTCATGCCTCCCTCAACTTTTCTTCTAGTAGTATCATATCTTATGTCTTCATGCCTCCCTCAACTTTTATGCTAAACTTTTAACTTGAGCCAGTACTTTGCACAGCAATATTAGTTTATTAAAATATATATATATATATAATTTTTTTAAGTAAAATAGTTATTAGGGATTAACTGTTCTGTTAGAAATTATTGCTTCACTATTTAATAGTTAACCGTGTTTCAAAGGTGGTTACAACAGTCTTCTTTAGTTCTCACTTCGTTATGACATCTAACTGGTTACATACCACATTATCTTTAGTTTACGGCTATTTTACACATGCTGTTTTTGTAACAAACCTTTAGTTTACTTGAAACCTCAAATGTTTTGAATTAGGGACTTATTGTTGTAAAGAAAACAGATTCAAATACTGAAACTTATTTGTTTTTGTTTAAGTGCAAAGATGTACAGAAGACTATCTGAAGGGATCAAATCCAGAAATCTAGTATTATAAGCTCTCAAGCTTAGTCACTGGAGGCCCAAAAGCAGATAAATAATAATTAAAGAAACTTGGTGTAAACC